TGATTAATTATTTTTTATTAATTAATTTACATTATATATCATAATTTATATTAAACACAGTATGGCTAGCCTGTTCCCTGTAGCTTTTGTAAATAGTAGTTGCCCGCCTGACCCTTCTGTCAGTCTGTCACTCTTGTCTTATCCCAACCCTAGTATCAACTCCTTACTCTCCATTTCTCAATCCCCAATTCCTCATTGGACAATATTTTTTTTTAGAAAATACGACCAGTTGGTGCTACCTCAAAGGCCCAAGAACAATATAACGACTATATTTTTCAATTCCAACATATAATAACAAATAATTTCTAAAAACGTATATTTCCCAATTCAGTTTATATTTTTCATCCACGTTTTCAAAAGTCATTTTTTTCAAAATTTCATACTTTCAGTATTCTAGTTCTAAATTTCAATCATAATATCATTTGGTGAATTTTGGAGGAGGAATCTTCTTCAAATTTCAAGTTTCGAAATCAAATTTTTAATTTTCGGTTATAATCGTTTGTTCTTTATACAAATGTTTGTTAACTTTTTTCCATTCTCTAATTTTATATTTATTTTTTGTATTTAAATTTGTAAGTTGTTCTTATTATATATTATTTGTTGCTGTTAAATTTCATATGTTATAATTTTTAATTTTATTTCATGGAGTCTTCTAAAAAATGTGGAGGTAAAAAGGATTTTGTACAATCAATGAAAAATATGGTTATTAAAAATAATAAAGGTTCTAGTTCTTCTAAATCTGAATTTCTTCTTATTAGAATGCATACGAATGAATTATGCATGTGAATGAAAGTAGTTGTGTCCATTCTAATTCTATAGAAATTAATTCGAATACTCCTATAATTCTATATGAGCTTTATGAAAGACATTATGGTAATAATCAAGAAAATGAAGAAGTAGAAATTGATAAAGAAGTATACTTAGATGATACACCGACTAGTCCGAGTTCAATAGTACTGAAATTCCACCTCCAGAACTGGTCGCCCTTCTATTGTTCCAACTAGATGTAAGACCAAGGTACAAAGTAATTAAAATCACATGTGTGAAATTTTGTTATTTGAATAATGAAAAAACTTTTAGAACATGTAATATTTGTTAACAACATTTTAAATATACATCTCGTCGCAGTGGAGGTTCAACGGGGGATCAAAAAAACATTTGATTAAAAATTATAACAAGAGTGGTTTACATATATGTCTTCTCTTGATGTTGGTGAAAAAATTTAGCATTGAAGCATCGACTAGAGGATCAAATATGGTTCAAGGTGAACTAAATACTTTGAACTCAAGTGGTCCTCTTACACATTGAACATATAATAAGGACCGTGATCAAGAAGATTTTGCTAAAATGGTTGTTATTTGTGATTTACCTTTTAGTTTGGAGAACATCCGAATTTTATTGCATATATTCATGATACATATAATCCTAGTTTTAAAGGTTTATTAAGAAGCATGGTAAAAAATGATATTTTTTAATTTCAAGAAAAACATTGTCAATATTTGCGTGCCTATTTTGAACTAATGAATTGTAGATTTGATATTACCACTTATATGGGTCGTAGTTCTAATGGTTTTGATTATTGCGCATTGGACTGATTATAATTGAAATTTACAAAAAAGAATTATTGGTTATAAAATTTGTCAAAAGAAAAAAATTGGAATGCATATTGCTATTACTGTGTTGAAAATTTTTGCTTTTTTTCGGTCTTTGTGATAAAGTCATTAGTAGAGTTGTCAATATGAGTTAGTCCACCCCATCCGGGCTAACTCATGCAGGCTTTGACAATTTATATGTTAGGCTGGGCTAGCTCATTTTTGGCGTGGGCCAAAAACGATCGATCTAACCTACAAGTACGTGGGCTACAGGTTTGATGGGTCAGTCCACTTTTTTAAAAATTATATTTTTTTATAATTATTAAATTAAATTAAATTATAATTATAAAATATAAATATAAATATCGACAAAATAACATTACATGATGTTATGTTACTATTTGTAAAATCAAATTCACAAATAAAATTATCTTTATAATTTTTATTAATTTTTTTTTCAAGTAAAAGTATATAAATATCTACATAGAAATATTAATCTAATTGTTTTGAGTTAAGACTCTCTTTAATTTTAAATTTTAATATTATAATATATTTTTAATTAAATTTTATTGGCCCATGGGCCGACCCTATCGATACTTCTCAAGCCCCACAAATCAGAAGGTTTATTCAGGCCGGGCTAAAAAACCTTTTTTTTAAATGGGCTCTAAAAATCTTAGTCCACCCCTATTAAATTATGGGTTAGGCAAGGCCGCCCAGCGAGCCTAACTCATATTGACGCTCTAGTCATTCGTGTTACTTTAGATAATACTTCTGCTAATTTAAATTCTATTAATATGCTAGAACCTAGATTTTGTCCTATTAGTAAATATGATTTTCATGTTAAATGTGTCGTTCATATATTAAATTTGGTTGTTAGTGATTGTGTGAAATTATTTGAAAACAAAATTTCTATTTTTTTTTATTTAAAAAAGCTTAAAATAGGGTTTCTGATTGTAGTAGGCTTTGAATCCAAGTTATCCTAAATAGACCCTTAGGGCTCTATTGTTAGGGTTCAACTTTTTATTGGTGTGCAAGAGCAAGTATCAACGTTTGTAATAGGTTTCAATTTTCTAACTCTTTTATTTTCAAGAAATTGCATGAACAATTGTATTTTATGATTTTCTAATAGCATGAGTGGCTAAACGCCCTAGTTTTGGGATTGTAGGTACGAATCGGTTGTTGATTATTAAAAGACTTTTTGAATTAATTCTTGGTTGTCACTATAATTACTTATATATTCTTGTTTTAGTATTTTGTGTTTGATCACCATAAGATAAATGTATTGTCTAATCTTAAAATTGATAGGGCAAGGGTTAGATAGACCAAAATATATAGAGAGCTCAATCAATCCATTTGATTGAGGTGATTGTGTTTAAGAGTGACGCCTAAACGAACAACTTGCTTGGTTATGAAACATGATGAAATATAAATGTTCACTAGTTAGTCTATTTATCCCCGTTCAACGTTGTAATTAGATGGCTAACTAGAGTAGGTGACTAGAGGTGTGAACCCGACTCATACAATTAATCATGTAAACCAATAACTTGACAACTAAAATTAATTCTAAGCCAAGAATATGATATATGAGATTTGTTACATGTTGTAGACATGGAATGTCTTTTACTTTTTTAAAAAAATTATCTTAATGTCGTTCAATCTTGGTTACTTTTATTTATTGCATAGGTTATTAGTTTGTTATTATATACAATTTTTCTATTTATTTTCTTAAATTTCGTGTCAAGTCAAAGTAGACCATTCTTTGTGAAATGGAGGGAGTAGTAGTTAACAATCATCACAATTCCTGAAAACGGTTTATTTTATTTTATTTCTAGAGTTAAGAGTAAATATAAGTTGATCATAAGTTCCTTGGAAACTATAACTCATTTCTTTAAGAATCTATATTACTTGAGCGACCACGTACACTTGCATGTGCAATTGAGAGCAACACTATAAGTATTTTGTAACTTGTACTAAGTATGGAGATATTGCGCCATAAGTTTGAACCGACATTAGTCTTATAAAGATGTCTAATAAAAAAAACTTAGAGTTCCACATTAATGATTGGGTGTTCTGAAATTTTCGCCTGTGAAATGTGTCTTGCGATTTGAAAACAAAAGGTTTACAAGAAGAATTGGTCAGCCGGCCTATAAGGTATATTTGCTTCTACAATTAGTTAAATGTGTGGGGAATCCTTCACTTGTTTTTTTGCAAAAGGCAGTCAATGCATTGAGGACTTGCCATTTGAAAAGGCTTCAATGGTCATACTAGACCGTTAGCTCATAAAGTTGCCTATCAAAAATATCACTTTATCACTTGTTATCCTATTTGTCATGATCTGAGACTATCCCTAATAGTGATAACAATGCTTAGAAGTATAAGTGACCCAAATTGATTCATGATTTGACATGATATATATATTTGAAAATAAATTATGCATAAGTTGAATTTGCAAGGTGTATTAAATTCAAGACACTAAATGGATAAGTTGAAAATATCTAAACAAATTAAAAGTTGATATTACTATCAAACTGTCTGAAAGTGTCTACTATCAACAAGCACCAAAATAAAAGAGTAAATATTAAAATAATGTTAAGGATACCCATTGATAAAATCTTGCATACCTAAAATAAAAACACTCGAATGAATTCTTAAAGTAAAGAACCCTACTTTATTGTTTGAGAAGAGTTTGATCACACAATCTAATAATTCTAAGTGTTTGGAGTAAAGGTAGAGGGGGGAGGGGTGTACCTAAGATAGGCGAAAACGACATAGTCTAAGAGTTAAAAGATGGGAAGAAGACCAAAGCAATATTGAAAGAAAAACTTCCCACAAAAGCTATCTACGTCCATGGAATGAATGATCTATGGTCCGTGAAATTCAAGATATACAACATTGTTATCCACATGTATAAGCTACTACTTGCTAATGAACAATCTAGAGACAATTGGAATAACGACCTAGTAAATGTATAAGCTATTATCACGAGCTTGTTTACTTGCTATTTTGTCTCTCTTACATATGATATGAGTACATGTTTTACATATACTCAGATCCCTATGACTGGACCATTGCATTTTCTGAAATGCAGGATCTAATGTTATAGGTTGAAAAACCTTCTCATTAGACACACTACACTTGGTGAGCTCCACTTCTACCTTTGAACTAGAACGTATCCAGTACTTTACATGTTTTGTATTCAATAGAGGTTTCGTCATGTATTGCTTTCAGTCAAAAGCTTATTGCCTGTCTGAGTAACAACATCCAGCACTGGATAACTCAATCCCTTCATCTCAAAGTAATCGCTAGATGTAAACCAAGTTTGTAGAGAATGTAGCCTAACATTCAGCTGGGCAAATAACTCTCCTCAATTCAAAAAGGAAGCTGGAACGTATGGAAGATAACTACTGCATCAGCTGCAATTGGTAAACATCTTCAGCATGGGAAGAAACACAGATAAAGGTAAAAGATCAAGTACAGTGTTCTTTTCTATTTCAACTATGCATACTGAGTTACAATATTCACGAGTTCAAAAATGATCCAGGAAGATTCAACAATACATCTTCGCAATCTGTATAAGCGGGTTGGGATCCCTTCAGAATTTACTATGCCCCAGCTGTTCAGCAAGTATATCCATATTACTCAAGTTGTCTGACTGTGTCTCCAGCAAATCCATTTCCATCTTTTTATCTTCCAGACTGTGAAATGGTTCCTCTGAACCTGAAAATGTTCCAGACTCTAAGTCAGTCTCCATACCAGTATGGGAGCACGCTGGATTATCCATCACTTCGCCTTCATTATTCTCTGTTATTGGACTGGACAAAAGCAGCTGTTCCAACAAGTTGTCATCATCAGGATGATATGGCAAAGTAAGAGGGACCCTATTTTCAAAAGCAAGCAGCTTTTCATCCATTAATCCTGAGAAGAAATCTATATTGGAAAACATATCTTTTAATTCATTGGAAGAAAAATCGAGCTCCATAGGTTTCTGAGAATCCAAGGCAGGTTCAGGTTCAGCGCATAGGAGGGTCTCTGCAGCTTCTTCATGAGTGGGAGGATGATACCTCACAATTGCTCGATCGGATGGTGTATCTACACAATCATCTTCAACTTCACTCAGTATATTATTACCATTTTCACTCATACACCAACTGTTTTCCTTGGGCTGGAAAAACTGAACCAAAAAACTTGGGCTTTGCATAGCCATAACAATGAAGGAAAGCATCTGCTGTTGATTTTTCTCCCTGACTTTTAGTTGTTCTCGTAGAAGTATCAACTTACTCTCTGAATTCTGCTGGTGTTCCTTAAGCTTGACTAACTCCTGGGTGAGAACATTTCTTTCATCCTTAAGATTCTCAACTTCTTTCCACAGTTCAAGATTCTTACTTTCTTCAGATGTACAAGACTTGATCTCCTCAAGTTGGGATGGTTTCTTTTGGGCTACACTGGACTGTTTCCTTCTAACAATATTCTTTAAAAAATGCTTTTGGCCTTTGACAAAGCTATCATTCAAAAATTCCCATCTATCTGTATCAGTTTTATGAAAACCCTGAGTAATTGAAAATCTTAACAATTAGTGAAATATGAAATATAAATTTAACAAACCAATAAACAACATGAATGACATTATTCACTAGCCGCCTCTGAACTTGTTAATCCGAAAAAATTATCAAGAATATTAATCATAGATAACCAATATGATTAAAGCATACAAGAACAACTATGTATATATATATATGAACACGACAATCCTCTGCGGCCTGCGCATATTCGGATCATCACAAGTGACCCATAGACCAAACTTCTGGAAATAACAACCTATCAACTGGTAGACAACAATGATAATTTTGATGAAAGAAGAGAGGGAGACAAACTTGAGAAACTGCCAATTGCAGTATGCAGATTTTAATATGCAAACAATGCCTATGAATTCAAACACTAACTAACATTTAGTTGGCTCAAACTTAGCATTTTACCATTTTCATTTTGCACAATAAAAAAGATGCATTGTGAGGAACTGTGTCCTTTATATTATGAGTGTCCTGCTTCATATGGAATAGAATACTTTCTGAGAAGTCAATAATCAGCAAGTCTTAAAATCTTTCAAAACAATATGATCTAAAATCCACATCCTCAAAAGGATACAGAGGCTCATAGTGAGTGCAAATAATGTATCAAATAACAGATTGATGCAATATCTCATATGTCAATGTCAAAGAAGACCTGTCTATTGCAAATAGAAAATGAATTGTATTCTTGAGCTTCTTATTACAGTGCTGATCAAATTTTATCAGACGTCCCGAAGGGACTATGTACAGTATTTCTTAGATACTTGAAAAATGCAGCCCAGGTAAATAATCCATCTGTGGATTGTTTGGTTTAAATTAGAATAGAAACTTGTAAACATTAAGCAGCTTGATATGCAAAACAGAACTTTGCTACGAAATGTACATTCAAGAAAGAATAAGAATGTTGAGAACTTTACGTACCATGAAGCAAATAACCACAATATTTTATATATTTTTTCAGGGGAAATGGAGAGAATTCAGATTTACATAACTTAGCCAGTACAAGTCATTTGTAATTCAGTCGCCTCAAAACTACATAAACCTTTTTTCTCTTTGCAATGGACAAAACAGTTTCCATAGTTAAGTAGACATCTACCAACAAAGAGTTGATGTTTCAGTAATACAAATACAAACATCTACTACCTTTTTTCCCTCTTTGATGAAATCTACAACTCAAAAATTTACTGAATTCATAAAAGTAATCTTCTTCAACATATCTATATAACAAAAACTTTCTAAAAGAATGGTGAGATCATGCCATCATCTCTTTGAAACTAATTAAATGGCAACGCCACCGGTATTTAATATTACAAGAATCTTTACCCCATAACAAAAACACAAATTGAAAAAAAGAAGAATGGAAGTACTGAATGGGTAATATACTATACAACGAATTTGGGGGAGATATGGCATTAACAAAGTTTCTATGATGAAGAATGGGATCATGCCTGTGTGACTTGATTGTGAAAAAGGAAAGCTAGACGAATTACAAGGGGGTATCTATCATTTTGACAATAAGCTACTTATTGTCAAAGCATGGTCACCTGAAATGGAGTTTCCAAAGGAAAAATTAATTACAGTCCCTATTTGGATCAAGCTGCCTGGATTAGACTTGAAATATTGGAGTGCAAAAAGGTTGAGCAGGATTGGAAGCCTCTAATGGTCGATAAGCACACTTAAAAGAGATTGGGGCTATGCTTTGTGAGATTGTTAGTAGAGGTGAAGGTGGGTAATGAACTTTCAGAAGAAGTGATGTTTCGGAATGAACAGGGAGTAGTGCTTACACAAAAGGTGTCCTATGATTGGAAGCCTTCCTAATGTGAGCATTGCCATAAGTATGGCCATGTATAGGCAGAGTGTAGGAAGTTAAATCCTATACTAAAAAGTACTACTGGGACAGGGGTAGAGGAACCAGGTAGACAGCAAGAAGATAAAGGCAGGGAGGAGAGATTTGAACGAAAGAGAGTTCAGTGTGGCAATAGGAAGCAAAGGGTTCAGGATAACGCAAACGCGTCTATAGCTGTGGTAGTAAATAATTCATTCCAATTTTCTACTCAAGCGGGAGAGCAAGAGATGGCTGCACAACAAGACAGGAATGTTGGGGCTACAAAACCAATCCCTAAGGGGAATAGTTAATGTAGTGTGTTGGAATTTAAGGGGCCTAAATGGCCTCACGAAGTAGGAGGAGGTCAAACTCCTCTGTAATCAGCCTGAAGTGAACATTATTGGTCTATTGGAGACGCAAATAAGAAGTAACAATATAGAAGATATATATAGCAGGTAATCTAGTTGGAGGGTGGAAGTATCATACAAATCTTTCTTCCAATTATAATAAGAGGATTAGGGTGTTGTGGAGAGAAGATATGTGTGAGGTAACAATTTGTAGCGAGAACTGAGAATGCACAAGCAATAACATGTCTTGTTAGTTATATTCCTCTATGAAGGAATTTTACATGACAAGTGTTTATGCTCCAATAGTAAGAAGGAAAGGAAAGAATTGTGGATTTATCTAACTCAGATAGGAGTTGGAATTAGAAAACCTTGGGCAATTCTTGAAGACTTTAATGCTGCTCTACATAGTGAGGATAGACTGGGTGGCAATCCAGTAACACTTGCGGAAGTGGCAGAATTTCAGGAATGGCTCGATGTGTCTGAATTAGAGGAAATGGCTAGTACTGGAAGCACCTATTCTTGGAATGATAAGGGGGAGCACAGTAGAGTGTATTCTAAGCTGGATTGGGTCTTCATGAATGGAGAATGGTTGGATGAGATGCCTAGGTGTGGAGCAAATTTTTAAGCCTGAAGGGCTTAGTGATCACAGTCCAATACATGTTAGTTTGTTGGCTGACAAACCTAAAAAGAAAGACCTTTTAAATACTGCAACATGAGGAATGCTCACCCACAATGCAAAAGACATTACTACATTGGGATGGCAAAGACAAGTGGAAGGGTGTCAAATGTATAAAGTTGTAATGAAATGAAGGGGCTCAAACAGACATTAAGAAGGTTACATGTGTAGTACTTCAGCAACCTTAATCGTGAGGTGAATAGTTTAAGAGAAAGGGTGAAAAACAGTGCAAGAACAACTACAGGGTAAACCTACGTGTTTATTGTCAATGAAAGAGGAGAGCAGGTTGGGAGAGAACTTAAGATGTGAGCTATTGGGTGGAAATGTCGTTGGCCCAGAGAAGCAAGGCTACACGGTTGAAGCTAGGAGATGATAACACAAAGTACTTTTATGCTGTGATCAAACAAAGAAGGCTCCAGCAAGCAGTAACACAATTGCAGGGTGGTAACTTACAGATTCATACTGAACCTAATCATATTGCAGAAATGTTTGTGGAAAATCATAAAAACCTAGTGGGTGAGGTCGGCACTGTACAAAAACAACAAGCTTCTAATGTTTTTTTGAAGAATGGGAAGACATTATCATGGAGCAACAAATGCAACTACTAGCTGAGTATATGAGGAAGGAGGTTGAGGATGCTATCTTCAGCAGTAAGACAACCAAGAGCCCTAGACCTGATAATTACACGAGTGGTTTTCTCAGAGATTCTTGGAACACTGTCGGGGAAGAAGTCACAGATGCCATTTTGGAATTTAAGAAGAATGATGAAGTGTTGGGGAAACTGAATGCTACTGTGATCACTTCAATCCCCAAGATCGCGAAGCCACAAAATGCAAGTGAATTTCGACCAATCTCTTGTCATAATGTGATATATAAGGGTATCACTATCCTTCTAAGTGCAAGATTGAGGAAGGTGCTACTGGAGTTGGTAAATGAAACACAAGCTGCTTTCATAAAAGGTAGATCATTAGTGCATAATGTTCTCATCTACCACGCTTTGATGAGGCACTATAGAAGAAAGACTACACCAAGGTGTTTGATTAAGATTAACTTGCGCAAAGTGTATGAAATGGTAAGATATGGGCATTGTTGAAGAAATGCTACAAGGATATGGCTTCCCACCTAAGTTTTCCCAGCTTATGACAACCAAATTCTCTATCAAAGTAAATGGGGACTGCTATGGACTCTTTTGAAGGGAATAGGGGATTAAGGCAAGGAGATTACATTTCCCCTTGCTATTTGTACTGATTATGGAATATCTATTGCGGCTCTTGACTAAGATGGGCCAGCTGCCTGATTTCAAGCACCATTTTATGTGTAAGAATCTGAATATGAATCACCTCATCTTTGCGGATGATTTGATGATTTTTGTTAGGGGCATGATGCATCAGTAAAAAGAGTGGGAGGCCTTATTGCATTTCTCTCAAGTTACTGGTATAAGTGCAAACACTGAGAAATCAAGTATCTACCGACCAAGAGTGAAATATGATATGAGGCAAAGACTACTGGAGTTGACAGGCCATGAGCTAGGAAAGTTCCCTATGAGGTACGTGGGGCTTCCATTCTCGCCAAGGAAGTGGATTGAAATAGAATGTCAACAATTATGTACAAGGATCACTGAAAAGATCAGAGCAAACTCAAATAGACACCTTTACTATGAAGGAAAGCAACAAATTATTAATTCTGTTTTGTTTTCTCTGCATAACTATTGGGGTGCCGTATTTCTCCTTCCACAGAGTGTGATCAAGGAAGTGGATAAAAAAAGCGTAGAGAGTTCTTTTTGGGGAAGTACAGCAATGAAGAACAAGGTAGCCTTAGTGGAACGGGGAAATGTTTGTAGACCAAAGAAGCAAGGTGGTTTAAACATTTAATGATGTAAACTATGGAACATAGCATCAGTGGGAAAGCTTGTATGGTGATTAATGGACAGAAAGGATTCATTGTGGGTACAATGGGTTCATGGAATTTATATGAGAATGAGACGAACTTCTGGATAAAGGGAGTTAATACAGACTGTAAATGGTACTGGAGGACACTACATGAACCGAAGTCGAGAATGCAAGATTGGTATGTGAATGATCATTTTTGTTTGACTGGAAATAACCACTACTCGATAGCGCTAGGGTACATGCATATGTTAGGCACTGCACCTACGAATGATAATGCAGGGCTTATATAGAACAGAATCCCAGTACCAAAGCGCAGGTTCATCTCTGGCTTGCTGAGATGAGAAGACTACTAACTAAAGATAGACTTCACAAGATGGGATTGGATAGCGGCAACCGAACATGTGTTCTCTGTAATAGTGATATGGCGGAGAATGCAGAGCACTTATTCTCACAGTGTGTATGGATCATGGAGATTTGGAATGCAATGCAGATATGGACTGGGATCAGAATGCATATTCAAGGGGTTCAGTTTATGCTCAAAGGGGGTTACATGACCTGCAGTTTTGTAATTCAACAAGTAAAGCATGTAACTAAGGATAGGATAGACATGTTTAGGGGAATCAAAAAGGGGCAGGAATAATATAGATTAAATTTAGCAACTCTGTAATTACTATACTAGAGGTCTATCGTTCTTGGAACCAAGTTAGGTGTTTGAGAGTATAGATGCTCCATAGGTGTATCAGATTGTTGGTATGGTAATAGTTAATTGCCAAAAAACAAAAAGAAAAAGACATTTGAATGCTTTATAACTTCACAAACACACACAGATCACTGCCCAAAGAAGTGATCGTAACTCCAAAGTAATCAAGTTACACAATTGTTAGAACTAAAATAATCTAATCCAGATTCTTGATTCTCCATACTTCCCTTCCTATAAAGGAATTTCATTACATCACTAACCCAACTCAGAACCATCAAAATCCAACACAAATAAAAAAAATTGAAATGAAATTAGAGAGAAAAAGAGAGTTTACATAGATGTTGAGTTGACGAATGAAGCTGGAGAAGTTGCTATGCTTGAAGTACTTAGGAAGCAATTCAGATGAAAATTTAGGAACATCCCATATGATGAAACTTTTCTCAGATTGATTCCAAGAAATCAAGCCGTCAGTTGACTCATCCTCCACCATTTCATAACACTTCAACAAGAATGGTGCAACAGATACCCCATTCTCAAACGATTTCACCATAATTCCCAACAGAATTCAACTCAATTATCCTTTCCGCAATCTACTTGTACAAATGAATGATACACAGCTTCCGAATAAACCCTTGTACGGCTAAAGAAGTAAAGGGGAAGATGTAAGGAAAGAGAGACGAATTTGAACCAAAATGGCTTTAACTTCCTATTACTATTCGTGTGGGACTGCACACAGCAGCCGGCTATTGGTCACAAATTTTAGGGCTTTATACATAATTATATACCTGAACAAAATACTCCTATGTTTTCGATATCTCGGATTTGAACCTTAAGAAAAAAAAAATATAGTAGATAGTACTTTCCTAAATAGGGTTTTACTCAATTTAAATTCTGATTAGTTGAAATTCAATGTGGATAGCGGACACCAAATAAAATAGTAAAATTAACATTACACACACATCTAAGAATATAAATATCAAGTTATAATTATATTCTTTAAAAATAAACTATTTATAACATATTATTATCATCTTATAGCACATCAATTAGTAATATATTAATTAAAAAAATATTTAAAAATAAACTATTTATAGCATATTATTATCAAGTTATAACATATTAACTAATAATATATTAATAAAAAAAATTATTTTATTATTTAACTAATAATTATTATGTTTAAATAATTTGTTTCATTTATTCACTTACCTTTTATCAACAAAACCTTTTAAATTATTACTGATTAATCAATTATCTTTTAAAGTTTTTAATATAAATAATAAATTATTAAATATTAATCAATTACCTTTTAATGTTTTTAATATAAATAATAAATTATTATTTATTAAATGTTAATTGAACTTCATATTATATAATTATCTTTTAAAAAATAAAATCTAAAATTAGGGATTTGATTTTAATTAATTTCATATTATATGGTTACATAATAACTACCCACCCTCATATCAACCAATACACTCAACTTCTCCCCACTCGTGAAAATCTTTCATATTCCCCAAAATTTGCGCCTCAAACATCACTTCAAAAAAAACGCAGCCACTTTGTCATCTTTATCAAATCCGCATCTTCCCCAAAATCTCTAATATCAGCTCATCCTAAAACATAAACTAAAATCTCAGATCCGTTCCCCATTAATCTTATAGACAATGTCGAAGAAAGGTAGTGAAAATCCAAGGAAAAGTAAAAAATTGGTCGATGAGGAAGACGACTTTCATGCTCCTTCATTCAATATATTGTCACAATCTCAAACTCAAAAATCAAAGGGGGGGAGGGGGGGGGGGGGAATCAAAGAGGCAAAGGAAAGAGGCAAGAAGAAGAAAGGAAAAAAAATGTAACATCGTCAGAATTCAATTCTGACTTTGTTGATGTAGTAAAAAATTCAAAATCAAAAGGCGTTGAAATTGGTCATTCAACAACGAAGTCTTCAAAAAAAGATGTAGAGATTCAAGAAAGAAATAAAACAAAAAAAGTTGATAAGGTTAGTAAAAAGTTTATTTCGAAATTGAATTTATAATGTGTTGTTTTAGTGTTTTTATTTTTTTGTATTATTTGTCAATAGTGTACCACATGAATTTTGTATGATTTATATATCAATTGAGTATTATTTTATTTTTCCAAAAGTCACATATATTTTTTTGAAATGGAATATGTATTTTATTATTATATGAATGGTATATGAACTGTGTATGAATTGTGGCATATAGTTGTATAAATTGTCACAATCTCAAACTCATAAATCCAAGGGCGAAAAAATCAAAGAGGCAAAGGAAACAGGCAAGAAGAGGAAAGGAAAAGAAGTTGTAACATCGTCAGAATTTGATTCTGACTTTGTTGATGTAGTAAGAAATACAAAGTCGAAAAAATCAAAAGGCGTTGAAATTGATCGTTCAACAACGAAGTCTTCAAAAAAAGATGCAGAGTTTCAAGAAAAAATAAAACAAAAAAAGTTGATAAGGTTAGTAAAAAGTTTATTTCAAAATTGAATTTACAATGTGTTATTTTAGTGTTTTTATTTTTTTATATTATTTATTAATAGTGTACTACATGAATTTTGTATGATTTATATATCAATTGTGTATTATTTTATTTTTTCAAAAGTCACAGATTTTTTTTTGAAATCGAATATGTATTTTATTATTATATGAATTGTATATAAATTGTGTATGAGTTATGACATGTAGTTGTATAATTTGAAATTCAACTGTGGCATTTAGTTATATGAATTGTGTATGAACTATAGCCTATAGGTGTATGAATTGTGTATAAAACTGTGATATAAAGTTGTATGTATTGTGGATGAAACTGTGACATTAATAATGTATTTTTTTTGTTTGGATACTGTATGAAGTTTTTGTATGATTTGTGGTATATAGTTATATGATTTTTTATATATAGTTTTATAGTATATAAAAGGTAATAATTCAGTTTTACAAATTTTATAGGAGAAGAAAGTTCAAAAACATTTATCTCCATGTATCAACATGAATGTGTTCGCTGATTTGTTGACCTTCCTTGGTCAAGATAAGTTCCAGCAATTTTTACAAGAAACCTCATTTGGATATTTTTATGATTTACATAACATAAAAATTCAATGTCAATTGTTGAGCCATATTTTTCTTATTGAATCTGACAATGACAGGGATGACATGTTCATTATCAATGTAAACGGTACAAAGTTACATTTTGGCTTAAAAGAGTTTGTCGCTGTAACCGATTTAAAATCTGGTCCAATTTTTTATTTTGTTTGTGATCCATCTGTTCCAAATAGATTAATTGCAGAAAATTTCAGAGACATGGACAAAGTCCCAAAATCAAATTTTTATAGCAAGTTTAAATTGGAAAACTTTTGGGAAGTAGATGACCGTTTAAAAATCGAAATTCTGTACTTCATTTCGTCATTCCTTACTGCATCAGCCCTTCAAAAATAACCATTTCCAAGTTATATTTTGATTTAGTAGAGTCTGGACAGTATGCCATATTTCCGTGGGCGAATGAGTCTTTTGATTTAACACTTAAAGTGTGCAGTCAAAAATTCAAAAAAAATTATTCGTCATTCAAGTTTAGCCAGTTCCATATAGCATTGCAGGTATGATTTTATGAGTGTTGTCATCCATTAGACAACACAGTTGCTATCCATGCTTGAGATCACACACGCGTATCTTGAACTGGAAGACAACAAATGACGTTATTTTTTTTTTGATGATTTGAAGAAAATGATTTTCAGAACACATGGCAATCAGGTAAATTTTTATTGAATATAATTAAATTAATTATAAATAATTACATATTCTGATATTTTTATTTTATATAACATAAATTTAGAAATATGATTTTTAGTGAAGAAGATTCAAATGTCATGGATGAGACCATTTTAAATCAATCTCTCACTTACCAAGATTCTGAAGAGTAAGGAACATCGGTAAAGCAGGGCGTTGAAGTTGAAGGAAAATACATTGAGTTGAAAGCAGAAATTGTAGAGGTACAAATGAAAATTTACGATTAAAAATTTCAAAGATTTTAAATTATACATATCAAACTTACTACTATATTATGAACATGTTAAGGCGAAATTGAAAGAGCTCAAAGCTAATGTTTGTTAAAATCACATTTAAATTTAATTCTATAATTATTATATGTTTTATTTTATTATGATAATATTGTATTCTTCATACATATAAAAGGTTGACAAGCACATAGTTGAAATAAAGAATTACGTTGATAATTCGACTAAGCTGATAATTGAAGAAATAGATTGTCAAGAGGTCAATAACGGGTATGTAATAAAGTTTGTAATGTGTATGTATGAAAAGTGTATACTTATTGTATGAATTAATCTATTATTTTTTACAGTAAATATAATGTTTTTACAATTTTAAGTTATTTTTTATTTAAATTAATTAGGATGATGCCACTCCAAATGTTGCACAGTCCGAAGAGATTAGATTATCAAGAGTTCAACCAACATCGGATGCACAACAACGGGTATGTATCAAACTGTGTAAAGTTATGTATGAAAACTGTATAATTATTGTATGAATTCATATATTAACTTTATAATAAAGAAACTGTTTTTACAGTTTTAACTGATTTTTAATTTAGGATGACGCCACTCCTAATGTTGCACAGTCTGAAGAGATTAGAATGTCAAGAGGTCAACCAACTTCAGATGCACAACAACGGGTATGTATCAATTTGTATAAATTTATGTATAAAAACTGTATAATTATTGTATGAATTCATATATTAGCTTTATAATAAAGAAACTGCTTTTACATTTTTAACTGATTTTTAATTTAGAATTATGTCACTCCAAATGTTGCACAGTCTAATAAACTTTCAACTGAACAACCTTCTATTTTAATGGGTGAATACGTTCACATTTCAAACACAGATGGTATGTTATATACAATTTTATGACACTTACGTTCTTTTACAAATTTATTTTTGCTAGTGAGTTTTTTCTTTTCCAGATGAACGTAAAAAATCAACTGTTGAATTTTTCAATGCCGACTTACCTTGATCATCGACTTCAAAACCACCTACTTTGGATGATTACCTGATTTTACCATGACACAAATCATTGCACTTGATTCCATTTTAAACGCTATCACAACACCATATGTGCAAACAAGACACAGAAATCCCGACAAATATGAATCTTTTCCTTATATTCGACTGTCAGAAGTCGAAAGCAGTTCAAAGAAAGTTTCAATTTTTTTCACAATAAAGCATTCATTCGCAAGTCACAATGGATTTGATGTTCCAGCTGATATGATTGACCAGATCAACAAATGGCTTATGAAAGACGTTTAAAAAAGGCGTGGCAGGCATGGATATATATAATCATATTAAATTTTTTTAAACAATATCAAATTTAATAAAACATTTATTGCAATATTCACAGGAATCAGCATATACAAAGGTGAAAAATATCTTTCATCCTCAAATGGACTTTAACGTTATCAAAAGTGCAGAGTTAGAGTTTTTCCACATATTGAGTCAACCGGCAGACCTTGGGAGGATGGGGTAAGACACTAATGTATTATTAATGTATGATTTATGAATGATATAAATTTGAATTTACAATAAGTTTGTATGAAACATTTATGAAAAATGTATATATGTTTGAATTGTGTATATATTGTATGCATTTACTGATATTTACTATATTACAATGTCTGAAAAAAGCATGTGTTTAGTTTTTTTTATTTGTAACAGCATATTAATACAATAATGTATTA